TTGGAGGGTTAAAGTAAGCGGGGTGCTTTCATATCCCCAACTCACGCTACGGTAGTATAAAAAATTACCTCCAGATTACATTACATAAAAAGTCTTTTGTCATATATTTGTAATTAGAAAAACAAGTATCGTAACTTATAACTTTAGTTTATAATAAAAGTTAAAATAATAATTTTAAATACTATATGTCGCTTGTAACTATCCACTCGGCTTTAAAAAAATTAGGTAACCTATGTGTAGACTATGCTCTATATCTAGGCCGGTTTCATGGAGATCCGTTCACCCGTTTAGGAGATAAATTAATTATTTCCATATAAAAATCAATACTATCTATACTATTATAATAAAGCGTAAACACTTACTTCTTTGTTGCCTAAGATGTCAGCAATAACACGATATTTTTGAATAATTCTTTGGTAATAAAAAGCCTTACACTTACGTCCCGCTTTAGGCTATATATTTTAACGCCATTGAACTTAGGGGGTAAATATTTTGGATAAAAACTCTAATGTGGGAAAGAGACCATAAGTTGCTGCCAACATCAAGGAAGCAAGGTTGCCATGTTTTGTCATCATGTCATGTTACTTTGACATTTGCAATTGATAATTTGACACATGTAAAAAATAAAATAAATTTTTCATAATTTTATGCGGATGAAGTCGCACGGGAGCAGCTAGTTTTGTATAAAATATTTGTCTTCTATTTGTCATAATTTTTTTGGCTCCAAGTATATTTAACCTCTACAGTGTGTGCAATGTTAGTTCTTAATGCGAAGTTGTTATTGCTAAAAACATATTAAAAAACAAATTTCCTCCAGTAATGGTTTGGTGTCGCGTGATCGGACAATTTTACGTCGGCCCGATACCAGCAAATGGCGGCCAACACGGTTGTTAGTAGCCTGTTAAATAACACGCTAACTTCTATATTAACTTTTACATCTTTCGTTCAAGCGAATAAGCCTATATGAATACAATTTGTTTAAAAAATGAACTGCAAAAAAATAAAGAGAGACACTGTTTAGTTAAACAAGTGTTTTAACTCCGATGTCCATAGTTATATCTTAGTAATAAATGCAAAAGTTCAGATGGCTGGATGTTTTACGAACGGATCACGATGAAATTTGGCATAGATGTAGGATACTAGGCACATAGGATGCTTACTTTTGTTTTTTGTAATTCCACGCGGACCGAGTCACGGGTGAAAACTAGTGTTTCATAAATATACTTATGTATTTGTAAGTACTTTATTTATTTACTAGTCAAGATGGAAAGATCCGTTCAGTCAGTTACTAGCAGTAAACTCTAACATCCATCCATCTAAACTTTCGCATTTATAATATTGATAAAATTAAAAATGAAACGTAACATAATATTATTATTACCTCGTCTTACTTTTTCAAAACAATTGAATTATAATTACAACAATAATTTGAATCTCTAATTGCCGCTATTCAATTGTTTCGTTGTTAAAATTATTCATAAATTCAACTGCAATGAAATTAATTACTATAATATTATTGTTTTAACAATAACTTGGAGTTACTTACATGTAGCTTTCCAATAAAAGTAATAATTATTGTTATTTATCCATCAATAT